CCGAAAGAGTAGGAATCCTTGAGGGTTCCTCTACCCTTTCATATGCTAGCACTGTAAGTTCAAGTGATAAACAAAAATTAGGGAAAATAGTTTCCGGAGATGCATTAACTGCAACAGATTCTCAAATGATAGAAAAGTCAAGATTTCAAGGAAGACTTGTTGTTGTAAAAGATGAAATGATGAAACTCAGAAATGATCATCATACTATACGGAGTGAAATAAATGAACTATTTCGTATGTTACAAGAAGGTTTTAATGTTTTGCATGAGCAAAGTGATAAAATACAATACTCTATTACTGAAGAAACTAAAGTATTAGCCTCACAGATTGCAGCAGATGTAGTGAATAATATGGTGCAACAAACTGTTTTTGATCGGCTTAGGGAACACGGTATTGTTCTTCAGCAATTCCCAGGTCCCTCATCTAGCTTAACAGATGAGGAATGGGCACAGAATCAACTCTATGATATCATTGTTAACTCATCTAGAGAACAAATAGCTGCAGCCATTCTTAAAAATCACGACAAACATGAGAACGAGGATGTCGAATCGAAAGAAAAAAAGAAGAAAAACCAAAAAATGGGAGAAGAGGGAAAAGAGGAAATAAATAAGGAAATGGAGATGGATAAGCATGATGAAGCTCGACGCGATCCTGGGCGTCCTTTGTTATACCGTGGACAATCAGAGAAATCACTAGATGGCCAACGTGGAGTTGCATCCTTTTCCCGACAAGTGAACTCATTAGGAGAAAGAGGGAGAGGAGGAGTAGGAAAGAAAACTGCCGAGTCAATCCCATCAACCAACACTCGTCATATCACTGGGGGTGGTGCGATGAATGAAAAGACGTCAGCAACACTCTCCAAACACACACCAAGAGAAGGAAAGGGATATTCAAACAACAAGAATAATAATCCCATATCTGGAACAGCATTAAGCGACTATACACATACTTCACAATTTTTGGAAGGAGATGCATTAACAGATAATTATGTATACTCAGATGAGGGTGGTAACTTTGGTACCTGGAAAAGGCCTGGAAACGAAGATCTTGGGGATGATAATGAAAGTATGT